TCTGAAGGAAAAGGTATTCACTAGACCACACTGCTCACACTCAGCCCAGGTCTGAAGGAAAAGGTATTCACTAGACCACACTGCTCACACTCAGCTCAGGTCTGAAGTAGAAGGTATTCACTTAGACCACACTGCTCACACTCAGCTCAGGTCTGAAGGAGAAGTATTCACTAGAGATGTAAGGTATTTCTAAAAGAAGGGAAGCCTCTGTTCAGGTTTGTAACTGACAGTCAAATGCTGCAGGAAGTGGATTAGAGAAAAAAGGAGCTGTAGTTAAATGTTATAGTATCATATAGATTAAATTATTATAGTTTTCGTATTCCCTCTTCTCAGAATAGTCTGGCTTTGTGTAAAAATACATTGTATTTTTTATTTTTTAGAATAAAAGCCTCCAGAATTTGAAGCTAACCATTGAAGAAGTAGAAGCCACTGCAAGGTAAGGCGTCAGTTTTTATTCTAACATCCTCCATCACAGGGGCTATGGTTTTCACCCTTGAGAAAAATATTTTTAAAACTCCCTATGAAAGTGCTTACACTTACACTGGGTAGATTTCAGTAAGTTTTACGTTAAAGATTTTCCAAATGTATATTTGAATTTCAAGTCCAAATTAGTTTTGTGTTGTGACTGATTGGCAGTAACTAATTATATGGCGATTTCACTAATGCAGTTTACCTGATTGTCCACTTCTGGCCGTTTAAAACCCGCAGGAGTGTGGAACAAGCTTCACAGCCATATTGTCAAAGCCAACCCTCAGATCAAAGCTACTTAAACAACCATTTCAGGGTTGATGGAGAAAGGGGGGAAAATGAAGTGGGAGTTAAGAGGATTAAGGATGGCGATGCCCTGGGGCTGGGTCAGGGGGCTGGAGGCGTGTGTGACCCAGGGCTGTGTATGTGGGTGTGTTGGCTCCCAGCTCTACGAAGGAGGAGCTGAGCAGCCGGGAGCGAGAGGTCAGCAGCGTGCGCCGACAGCTGGACTCCGTCAGAGAGGAGCTGGGGGCGGCAGGGAAGGCCCGGGAGACTTTGGCCAGGGAGTGTGTCCAGCTCCGAGAGGACCTTTCCAAGGCCAAGCTGGAAAACCAGGTGAGGCAGAGAGATGGCGAAAAACCTGCAAGGAAGGTAGAGCAAGAACGATTGTCTCCCTTAGAGCAGTGGTTCTCAAACTTTTTGGACCAAGTACCACGCCTAATCCAACCAAAGCATCCAAGTACCACCTACAAGTCATCATCTCATAGGAACCCCAGCAATTCTCAATGACCAACATGAGCGCGCGTGCACACACACTCACACATACATATAATAAATATTATTATAATAATAAACTTTATTTGATATAGCGCCTTTAAAGGTG